GGGGGGTCTACAACAATAATGTCACTCAAGATTAACAAATGTACCTTAACGTGTGAAACTAACCTGTTGGAGCACCCATTCCTTGGTAGACACACGCCAGACCGATTGCTAAAACCACCAGAGTATATTTGGCCATGATTGTCCGAGAAAACACTAACATGCGACGACAGCAGCAAAAATTGTTTTAATCACTTCTTTTGGAGACGGTTTAGGGTGTGACTGACGTTAGTATATTATGTATGAGGAGGATGTATACAGTTGTTTCTTGTAGCCTCTATGTTTCCAGCTGTTACTGCCGTTGTTGTAGTTTGTTGTTGATGTGATAACTGTCGTTGCTATGGTAACGGGCACATAGTATTATCCTCTTCAGAGATTTGAGGTGTTTTCGACGATATGTTTCTTTAGGTGTAGAACTGCCAGGACTTGTTAGTGGAAGCTTGCACCTGTTTTAAATAAAAGGAAAAGGGACACATGAAGTAGTTGTCTTGTGGTACTTTTAGAACACAAGGCATGTTTTATTTCTTCTTTTGTTTTTTTTAGAAAAACATAGCTTGTAGGGCAGTTGCGATCAGAGAATTAGGAAAAAAAACAAAATTATAATCAAATCATGGCCTTAACACTGGCCCAAATGACCACAAACGCTCTATTTGTGGAAACTTTTTTTTTTTTAAAGGAATAGGGCTTAAAGGTCACGAAGGATGCCACAAAGTCTAACCAATTAACTACAATAACACGAAGATGAGCAAACTATCTGAGGCCAGTTGTGACGTTTGTGATCAGTACAAGGTCCTTGCCATTGCTTCCTTCACTCTGATCTCTTTATTAGGCAAGCTACATCAAGGTTTATGACTTCTCTTTCTCCTTGGATGTTAAAGACACCATCCGTTCATGGTGGAAGAATTATTATCAATAATATTATATCTATTACTATTATTACCAATAGTAGTAGTAGCAGTAGTAGTGGTAGTAGTAGTAGTAGTAGTAGTAGTAGTAGTAGTAGTAGTAGTAGTAGTAGTAGTAGTAGTAGTAGTAGTAGTAGCAGTAG